AATGTTTGAAGACTTTATTTACTAGAAAAATCCTATATTTACTTTAATCCTTGTGATCCTGATATGTCTTTTCTTCCAGGGTTAATAATGTTTGAAGACTTTATTTACTAGAAAAATCCTATATTTACTTTAATCCTTGTGATCCTGATATGTCTTTTCTTCCAGGGTTAATAATGTTTGAAGACTTTATTTACTAGAAAAATCCTATATTTACTTTAATCCTTGTGATCCTGATATGTCTTTTCTTCCAGGGTTAATAATGTTTGAAGACTTTACTAGAAAAATCCTATATTTACTTTAATCCTTGTGATCCTGATATGTCTTTTCTTCCAGGGTTAATAATGTTTGAATACTTTATTTACTAGAAAAATCCTATATTTACTTTAATCCTTGTGATCCTGATATGTCTTTTCTTCCAGGGTTAATAATGCTTTTAAAACCAAGGTACTTAGGAAGGAAACTCGTACTGATTTGTACTTGAACTGGTCGTCAGCTCATCACAAATCTAAAAAAAAATAGGGATAATAAAAACTAATTGTAGTTCAAAAGAAGAGCTGGATAACGAAGTACATTATCTGGAAAATGTGTTGGTTGAAGAGGAATGATAATCATATTACTGTGGTTAGAAATAACGTAAGAACTGATAGGTTGACAGAAAAAAAAGAAAATCATTCAGATAATTTGGTTTATTTGTAATTCCTTGTGTACCTAGTTTGTTAAATACGATAAAAAAGTGTGGAAAGAAATATAAAGGATGTATAAACTTCCAGTTGTCGGATGAATATATCCTTTAAAATAGAATTAAACCGACTACTATTGAGAAAGAAGTAGTTTACAGTGTAGAATGTACGGACTGTAATATTATCTGTATAGGGGAGACTGGTAGACACTTGAGTACTAGAATAGCAGAACATGTCTACCAATATTTTAAAGATGTAGAACATTGTAATGAAAATAAAATTGTTAAAATTATTTGTGGAGAAAGTAATGTTAATAAACGTAAAATAAAAGAATCCATCTTAATAAAGGAATACAAACCTTTGATAAATAAAACACATGGAGTAGGTTTATACTTATGCTAGCTCAAGGTTATGTGGTTGACGTCACCAATCGGATGTAGTACTTAAGTGTCGTGTACAACTGTGCTGAGTACCTGATGAAGCCACGTTAATAGCGGCGAAACGTTGTTTTTAAATAATGCATTTTTTTCTATCTCATTTTAGCTGTGTTTTAAATTTAAATCCTGTATTTAATTCTTGCTCACCATACTTTGTGAACCTGATATTTCGTTTTCCAGGGATCATATGGCTGTAAATTAATAACGGTATTTCACACTAAATAAATATATCCTGTATTTATTAATCCTTGATCACCGTACTTAGTGAACCTGATATGTCTTTTTCCAGGGATTATATGGGGGGTATTTTGTATGTGTGATTTGGTTGTTCTTAAGCACAAAGCTACACAATGGGCTATCTGTGCTCACTTCCCACTTCCTAAAACAAACACTACAACTCGTTTGATTTAAACTAAAATTGTTATATTACAAATGATCTTGTTATTGTTTAGAATATCAGCACGTGTTAAAAATAGTGGTAACATTTTACTTTCCAAGTTTGCTTCAGTGATGTTATTAAAACACAAAAAAAAAGTGATTTTATACAATGTCGTAAGTTAACTCTGACTTCTCTTTACACTTTTCTCAAGCGGTGGGGGTTTACATATTGCTTTGTATTAAGTAATTTTGCCTTTTAGAACACTTAGTGTAAAGAACTGACCACAATAAAACTAGGCTAAGACATTAATCTTCTATGTAAAATACACAGCCCCCCCCCTCCCCAAGTCGTTAGTGGTTTTAAGTATAACAGTGGTGACAATTCAATGCCACAGGAAGTAATTTTTGAGTGGTCAGGCCATTGCCTCATTGCCCTTTCTAGGGAATGTCTGGGGACTTGCTCCCCCAGAAAATGTTTGAAAATTTAATGCTATGAGATTGAATCTTGAGCCATTTTAACTACAAATACTGCATACTCACAACGTAATGTATTGAATTAAAAGAAGTAAGTTTTAATACATAAGTTGTAGCTATACATACCATGAAAAAGTTGTCAGGCCATGGCCTGTCTTGCCTTACCGCTTCCTATGACCTTGCAATTCTGTTAACGTTTGTGTATGCGTGTGTGTGTGTGTGACTCGTATGTTATTAGTGACCCTGTTACCAAAAACATCATGGACAATCTGATGCATAAAGATAGTTTGGAACAATGTGTTTAACAAGCCGATAAACCTTATCAGTAAATATAGGGTTAAGATATTATATCATTATATGACCAGCTGAAGTGTCGTGTTTAACAAGCCGATAAACCTTATCAGTAATTTATATAGGGTTAAGATATTATATCATTATATGACCAGCTGAAGTGTCGTGTTTAACAAGCCGATAAACCTTATCAGTAAATATAGGGTTAAGATATTATATGACCAGCTAAAGTGTCGTGGTTAACAAGCCGATAAACCTTATCAGTAAATATAGGGTTAAGATATTATATGACCAGCTGAAGTGTCGTGTTTAACAAGCCGATAAGACCTGATCAGTAATTTATATAAGGTTAATATATTATATCATAATATGACCAGCTGAAGTGTCGTGTTTAACAAGCCGATAAACCTTATCAGTAAATATAGGGTTAAGATATTATATGACCAGCTAAAGTATCGTGTTTAACAAGCCGATAAACCTTATCAGTAAATATAGGGTTAAGATATTATATGACCAGCTGAAGTGTCATGTTTAACAAGTCGATAAACCTTATCAGTAAATATAGGGTTAAGATATTTTAACTTAATATGACCAGCTAAAGTGTCGTGTTTAACAAGCCGATAAACCTTATCAGTAATTTATATAAGGTTAATATATTATATCATAATATGACCAGCTGAAGTGTCGTGTTTAACAAGCCGATAAACCTTATCAGTAATTTATATAGGGTTAAGATATTTTAACTTAATATGACCAGCTGAAGTGTCGTGTTTAAGAAGCCGATAAACCTTATCAGTAATTTCAATAATAACAATACAAAATTACGCAAGTTTTTTAGTCTTATTTCACTGGTTAATATTTTTAAAAAACATGCAATCACTTCTTGTTCCACAACTATTATAAACTTTATTATGGTCAGTATTTATACACATATCGCTAAAGTACTAACAGTTTACCACAAAAGTTTAAACAATAATAAGAATACAAAATTCCGCAAGTTTTTTTTTTTTTCTAACCTTAATTGTAACTTTATACATTTAACCTTTCAATTATTAAGAACATCATGTTAAAAGACGTTTTACCTATTCTTTAACTAACGATACATCATCTAATCTCTCTTTGTTTCAATATCGAGATATACCTTCCTGGAATCCCATGCTCTAAATATTAATGAGTCTACATTGAACATTTGTGTTCACGACTTTCCTTCTTTTCAAGTTTGTTTGATGGACCCGGTTCTTGGTTCTTTAGCTAAACAATTCGGTTTCATTCTCCGACAACATTTTAAGCTTCCATGCATGACGTTGAAACTAAACGGACTACCGATATACCCAGGACGTCCACCACAAAGCACGTGCACACAGTGTTTCAGTTATTGTCTTTGATGAGAGAACCTGCACATATCCTCATTCCAGACGGTGCATTTACAGAACTGAGCTGGACGTGTAAATACATCACTGGAATGAGGTTATGGAGGTCAGGTTAGGTTAGAGAGCAAACCATGCAAGGAAAAAGCCTAGTTCATGTAAACTCCAAAGATTTAAAGGTGAAGATATGACAGAAAGAGATGCACGTGTTTTTTCTTTCTACAGGGAAATAGCATGCAACCTGGGAGAGAAGAGTATCCAGCCCAAGCAAAAAAAAAGAAAAGTCTACATCCCATGCAGAGTTTATCACGTAACTATCAGCACACATGGACCTTACCCCCCATCTTATCTGAAGCAAGGCAAAACAGCTGTTAGTGTTAGAGATAACCCTAGTAATGCATGCCACAATAAAAAGTTAACTCTGTCTTAAATAATTAGTTCATGATTATAAAAGTTGGTCCCTTTTTTAATCCACTTCCATGTTATGTGCTGTATTGTTCTGTACTGGTATAATTGTTATATAACAAGTTACTTTAATAGTGCAAAGGGAATTTAAATATATCATTCAAAGCATATATAAATCTAGACGGGTTATGATTCACCTGCAGTATTTTATTGTCACGTTTATTGTCTGTGTGCTGTTTAGCATTGAGTTTATGAAAATGTTCTAAATATTGCTACTACAGAGTTAAAAGTAAGTACAGGCACTTTATCACATTAGACAGACAGGAACGTTAAAAACACACACATTACCAAAACAGCCAACTTGTGGCGCAAGAAAGACCGCATTACACACTACATGCAACTGTATCACAATACTTTACAGTCTGATTGTAATCAACATGAAAAATGTAATCATGGACGAAGAAAAAATGGGTTTCCAATTAATTAACAACAAAGAACGACCTGTAGTTACCCAAGAAGTAATTATATGGTAATCGTCGAGAGTCACTTCCAGAAAGATCGTGAATTTATTCAAATCTTGTTTCATTAATCACGTGATCAGACGGTACTTTAAAGGCCACACAGAGCCTCCAAGTGGCAGAGGAAAGCTTTTATATAAATCTGCTTATCAGGGAGGCATCTCCCCTACAGCACCGGCCACAAAGTGGAAGTTATACACATGCGCATCTACAAATAAGACCCACCACACATGTACATACACACAAGAAAGAAAAAAGCCGCCGCGCACAAGTAATATTCCCCTCACAAATAAATTAACAGTCAAACACTGACAATAACAAGGAGATCGAAACCTATAAAAACATGAGATATCAACTAAGGAGAAGTATAACTCCGAAAAACTTACAGTCGGGTTGTCTCTCCCACAGTGTCATCCGCCTCAATTTTGTATATCTTCAGTTCATTATGTATTCGAAGCTATCTACCCGAAGGTGCCCGGTGTCAGCCGGATTACACCGTCTTCCTGCAACATTGAGACCACCACTAAATGGAACTGTTTCCTGGAAGAAAAAAAGAGTTAAGTACGTTTCAAACTACCGTATTGGAGCATTGCCGTACCAGTCACAAAGAACTGCCCTACTCGCATTCATTTAAACAACAGTTTTTTCAATAACGACTGTCGTTCAAAATAAACTATTTTATATTAATTATACCAAACTCGTAAACAAGAAAAAAAAATATGTACTAAAGTTAGCTATTTATTTTATACTGCATCCGATGGTTTCTGATAAAAAAACACAGATGTATCAAAATAATGAACGAGTGGTAAAAATAACACACATAGAGAACCGTGAGTCAAGTTCTGCCTTTTATAAGATGGAAATATAATGTTATCAAAACATCATTATGTAAGACCTTCTACAAGCAAAGATGTTAAAATAACATTTGAAAAAAAGACGTTCAGTAACACCAATCGAACAGTTGAATAACGGGTCCTTTTTCTCGTTCAGTAACACAAATCGAACAGTTGTATAACGGGTCCTTTTTTCTCGTTCAGTAACACCAATCGAACAGTTGTATAACGGGTCCTTTTTTCTCGTTCAGTAACACCAATCGAACAGTTGTATAACGGGTCCTTTTTCTCGTTCAGTAACACCAATCGAACAGTTGTATAACGGGTCCTTTTTTCTTATTTCGTAAATCTCCATATTCGCCTAATGTTATTCACTTCTGTTTTATAATATTTTGATGGATCTTATTTAGATATTTCCATCTAATTGATTGGTTCGTTTTCCAAGTCTTCTTGTTTAATACAACATTATGATATTAAGTTTTCATTGGGTCGCTTTCTTCTGAGAACTCTTTGTGCAATAGAAAACTCTCACCCCACTGACTGATCAGATGATTGTTTCTTCTACAAGAGAAAACGCTCAACTCACTAGTGATCAGATGCTTGTTTCTCCTACAAGAGAAAACACTCAACTCACTGACTGATCAGATGCTTGTTTCTCCTACAAGAGAAAACGCTCAACTCACCGATTGATCAGATGCTTGTTTCTTCTACAAGAGAAAACGCTCAACTCACTGACTGATCAGATGCTTGTTTCTACTACAAGAGAAAACGCTCAACTCACTGATTGATCAGATGCGTTTTCTCTTGTAGGAGAAACAAGCTCAACTCACTGATTGATCAGATGCGTTTTCTCTTGTAGGAGAAACAAGCTCAACTCACTGACTGGTCAGATGCTTGTTTCTACTACAAGAGAAAACGCTCAACTCACTGACTGGTCAGATGCTTGTTTCTTCTACAAGAGAAAACACTCAACTCACTGACTGATCAGGTGCTTGTTTCTTCTACAAGAGAAAACGCTCAACTCACTGACTGATCAGATGCTTGTTTGTACTACAAGAGAAAACGCTCAACTCACTGATTGATCAGATGCTTGTTTCTCCTACAAGAGAAAACGCTCAACTCACTAGTGATCAGATGCTTGTTTCTCCGGATCTTTTTAACTCCACCTTTTTTAAATCCATACCTCTTCCGGTGTTTTCAGCACATTTCTAATTTTCATTTTGACAGGTCTTCGAATTACACGGTTCACCTGGGTGAGATAAAATCATGAAAGGTTTTCTAGCCGACTTGTAAGTAAGGTTTTCGTTGATGGTGTTCTTCCATTGTTTAATACAGCCGTATATTTGGTATATACTCTACTATATAACTACTGTTTATCCATTTTACTTATAATTCTTGTAAAAGTCATACATCCTTCTCCTCTTTAAGTTTGATCGTATGGTTCATATTCTAGAAACAAAAATTATAGACTAGATAAAAGATACAAATAATTTCAAACCACCGCATTCGGTCTTTTATCACTTTAGAAACTGGAGAAGAAAGCTTATAATAAAATACTCCATCTCCCATATAAACTGTAGTTAAATAGTCTAGGGATAGATTTATAACTGTCTAACAGGCAGTACTGCTGTTTAAAACAATTCTATCCTCCTCGCTCTTCTTTTAACTAATTGTCCTCCATCTATAATATTTGTAGAGCTGCAAACTTCTGAAAGCATGAAACAGAAATGAAAGCACTAGATTTTCGAACAATTAAATAAGGAGCTACAGACATAACATTCTAGATTCGTGTTCGAGTATAGCAACCGCTCTGTTATATATATACCTTCCTTATTCAAAGAGAAAGCTAACGCGACCAAAGGTCCGTTACAAGAGAGTAATGAAAACAATAGGTTTTGGACAATATAAATACAGCTCATAACATCATCAGTCTAAAGCAGAAATGTGCAGACAATACGAGTTTTGTTTTAAACACATAATCACAAGACTCACAGATATTGGAAGGAACCGAAAATTATTTTATCAGTATTTATCATGTATAGAAACACGAGATTACATGAGATACTACGACACGCGTGACATCATACAGGTTGTGTCACTGTTTCCCAATGTTAGAACGAAAAAGTATAGGACAGCACTTTGAAGCTGTATGACCCCAAAATTATCGCAGGAATAAAAAATCACGGATGTTCGTATTGAATTCAAGCAACTAAGTATACTTGCTGTAAGCCACCTCAAAACTACGCTCGAAATTCATTGGACACTTTCCTCTGAGGAAACGGCGTGAAAAGGTATCAATTTCACGAACACCGAATAAGCCTCTACATGCACTGATATAAACTGCCTTTTGTCCCCTCCCACTCAGTGATAGAGCGGTAAGCTCGACGAGGGCTTTATAACTCTAAGATTTGGGATTCGATCCCTGCAGTGGACACGCAGCCTAAATAGCCCATTGTGCAGCTTTGTGCTTAACAATAAACAAAGAAATATAATAAAATTCACCGCCTTCAAAATCAGGCAGTTTTGTTTCGCTATACAAAAGACGTTTGTCATTACTTTGATGTGGGTTAAAGAAAACCTACAGAGTACATACAGGGCACGCTAAGGGATTTACTGTCACTCTTATAACACATCCGTAGATTAAAGTGTGAAATTCATGGGGCTCAATCTGTGCCCTATAAAGTATCTACAGAGCAGGTTGTTTATCGCCGTTGTGCCCACATGTATCTCTGACTTACCTAAATATATGCAAAAACGTATTACATAATAAGATTACATTTGGCATTAAAGGTGACAGAACACGGCTGTCCCCTCTTCCTGGCCTTCTCTCTCTCTCTCAGCCCAAACTTTTCATGAATATGGTTAAAACCGCGTGACTACGGAGTAACGTTTACAAAGAAACTACACCGCCTAAAGCTGGTTTCAATGCCAAAGCAACGTTGGCCTTGAACATGTATATATAGCCGAGCTAGTTTGGAACATGTACTTCCTTTCATCATCATCATCATCTCTTCTTGTTACTCTGACTCACATATACATACCAGTACAACAGCAACTGGAAATTTAACTATGCTATCTGAAAAAAAACGATTAAACCAAACAACCGTACACTTTTTTAAATTAAATATTTTTTGTTTGCTTATTATCATTTACTGAGGAGGATGAAGGTACAACGGTGTTGGTCAAAAAAATTAAGTGACCAAACGGAAGATGAGACGAGGGAAGGGGATTGGTCCCCCTTCCAAGAAGAAACTTAATAAAGATAAAATTCTTGAAGATTTGTTTGCTTGTTTTGAATTTCG